GACCAGAAAAAAGTCGTATAACCAGTCGCTCCCCAGTTCACTTTCCCAAAATGTTCTTGAATTGTATAAAGCTTCTGTCTAAGCCCCCGCTGGGAGGCGGAGGGCCTGAGAATGGATCCTCATTAGCTCCTTTATGACTGATCATTCTTTGTGGCATCAAGATGACAACATGTTAACAAGAAATGCCTGGAGATGTGAAAGGAGTGGTGACAACAAGCTAATGACCCTGCACAATGTAAGGATACTTAACTCGTTAGCACAGTATAGCAAAATGACAGCCACGGGAGATCCTGGGTGAGGTCCGATCAGACAAGCTTTATTTGCGTGAAGAGAAAAAAATCGAAGAGTTACATTTCATTTAGCTCCGAATGTTCCGCTTGAGTTCAGGACATCTTCTGTAAAGATGTCGACCCGCATCAGGATTCAATGTCTTACCTTTCAATGGGTAGTTTTTCACGAGATTTTGACGTTCTCACTCCAATTTCTGATGTTCTCGCTCTTGTTTCTTTTTAGTTTGTGCCGATATCTTTACTTTTTCGTGCTTTTGCAGTTAATAAACAGTAACGAAGATCTGATTTGTAAAGAATCAAAATTGGCAAAATATGAGCTGGTAGATCTAGCTCTACGTAAAATATATATTGCGCCCTCTATTGAAAACAAAAGTTAAAAAGACGGTGAAAAAAAGTTTAACACGTGTTCGTAATGAATTCAAAGTATCAACATTCGACAGAGTAGAGATAAAACAAAATCGAACTGAAATATTCCCAGATTTCAAGAGGAACTCTGTCAACTACAGAAGAAATTGGTGCGGCTTCTGTTCTGTCCATTTCTGGTTGTATGTACATGGCCAGATGCTGTTTTACTCGGCTAGAATGTGTCCTCAAGAAACGATGGTACCACTGTACAACTCGGACGAGTCCGCATGAGGCATGTACATCAACGGTCCATCGCTTTGCACAGTTGAGAGGTACACGTTGAGTCTTGAAGGCCTGTAGTATTCTCAGGTTTTGTTCCATTGTGTTGGATTTTGAACTTTGTCGGGTAGGTAGGCCTATGCCCCATGGAACGTTTTCTAGAAAGTGGATATAGTTTCCCCTCGCTCCCCACCATTCTAGTTTTGTAAAACCGATAGACGATTAACAAAACATCTACGTTTTGGAAAAGAATACGCTTCGCAACACTGACCAAACTTTGTGTTTACCAAATTGTTCTGCTTGAAGTGACACCGTGAAATATAAATGGAGTCAGCTGACTAAGTTTTTTGTACCTAGCCCTGGGCAAAATACAAGTTGAGTCCTGTACAAGTTTGGCGAGTTATCTTTGTGCAGTATGCATATATAATAATAGACCTGTTTAAGACTTGGTGCAAAGATGGTAGTTTGATATTGCGGCCAACCGAAGCGTTTGGATAGCTGGGATTCCTTCAAATTAGCGTTCTACCCAGACGCAGTAAATTGCGGCATTATTGGCAGCTGGATTAATAGTGAGACGCTCTACATTATAGAGTGACGGTTTAGCGAGCTCCATTTCTGAATCGAATCAAAATGATTTTCGGCAGATTATCACCCCGGAGGGGTCCACTTTGAGGCAGAACCACGACTGAATATTTGACGTGGCTGGGCCGATGGGTGGCTCGGCTTCTCAGAGAGGTCCTGGGAACGCAAAGAGAGGGTGGCGAGGGGGGGGGGGGGGGTATCCCTGGACCTCTGAGGCCAGTATTACGTCTGCAAGCATTGAACCACGTGGAAAATGAAATAATAAAGAATGGCCATTCCTTCCACCGGTGAAATCGATTCGTGTTTAGCCAGGATGAGATTATAAGGATAGCACCGCCCATAAATTATTCAGTGTGTTTTGACAATATTAGCCTATGAATGGGTGACGGGCGCCGCAAAGTTTGCAGCGTCACACACCACACCACCTCCCACTCTGAGTCCCAGTATTTCCCGTCAGACTGGTACGTGTTTGTGAGTGGACAGTGCACGGACCAACCGTCTCTCGGCTAAAAAGCCCGCTGACTAAAGGCAAGTACTCACTCACTCGCGGGACACCGAGGCAACTGCGTGACCTAGCCGGCAATCTGTTGAGGCTTCGTTTGAAGTGAAGAGAATTCGGATTTTATTTCCCAGTCACAAGTGGTAATCTGAAACTTGGATGCGAATCTGGATATTTCTGCTGTTTTCCCCTTACCCCTCTGCAATGATTACGAGAATTTTAAAACAGAAGACAATCGCCCTGAGTGCTTGGGATGATAGAAGACAAGGCTAAAACTAAAAGAGGGCACAGGAATTGAGCAGCCAACTCTGAAGACGGAGACAACCGTAAACCCTCTTTTTTTTTTTGCTGAACGACGTTGAGCCATCAGACAACATAATACACGTTTTCGACCAAACTCACCGACCGTCCTGGAATATACTGCCGAGGCCGACCGCCAAACTCCCCCGCCAACTTGTGTCGATCGCACACGGGCCAGCTCACCGGATTATACCTGGCAGGAATCAAGGCACCCATCGGGGGACCGGGAGGGGGTGGGCAGACCGGCCGTGGAGTGCCGCGGTTTTCCCGTGTCTCAACCACCGTAACATGGCGCAGCATGAAGACGCTGAGTTTACCAACGTAAGTTCACTTTCCTGATCTTAAAGGCTTTCTCGCTTTAAATCGAAGGTATATACAGTCAGACCCCTTTAAATCGAAAACCAAAATAGTTTTTACTCATAATCTCATGCCTAGATTTTTATTATAGGCCTTCAATGAAACACTGTGGATGTGAATGTGATAATCCAGTTTGTCAATTTCGATTTGACTGAGCAGACATAAGAACGGTGGACAAACTATAACGGAATCGATTAAGAGTTCTGATCGAGGTCAAACTACGCAAACATTGCTTTAAGAGTTGCTGTTCTCAAAAACAAGCGAACACGTGGCAAGAGGAGGCCGGACAGAGTTTGTTTAAAATTGGTCTTAGTAATTCATACTCGATGCAGTCTATAATCGCCTGCGTACACACACGGCGCATCCCACCCCATCGTCAACATCCATTGTGACCATCGTGAAAAGAGTTCTAGATTTGTTTGCTGTGGAGATAAATACATTAAATCGTCAACTCTTCAACATAGTTTGTTTGTTTTTTCTGTTGAGCGGGATCGGACTAAACTGAGAGTCAATTATTGTACACCACACGAGGGTCCTATCGACATTGCGTCTCAAAAGCTACTTTGGACCAAATCGCTGTGACTTCCAACTTGATTTGTAATACTAGCGACTAGCTGCCTTGAACATTTCTCGTATTCTATACATGGATAATTAAAATACATTAAGCAAGTGTGTTAGACAGTGCATAAGCATTCGAAGTGTGCCTGTGTTTTGCTCGTGCAGTGATTGTTTTCATTCATCATGCAGACGAACCTCGCGTGCCTGCAGCCAGGAACTGCGCGGTTTCGGTGACATAGCAATTAATCATACCAAGTCGACTTTCCCCTTGCACTCGGGCCTGGGTTGTATGTCACGCGTGCAGCGCAGGAGGGGCGCCCCGTACATACACCCATGGGTGTTCTCAAACGTCAACTTGGCACTCGGCTAGCTCCTAGGCCCATGGACCCAGTGGGCCTAACTCGGTTTTTTGTTCTTGTCTAAAATCAAGTTATCGCTCACCCTCGGGCCCGAAACTCGAGTGCACTGCCCCGGTCCCGTCACCACCGCACGCTAAGTGTTGGCAGCTCAACGGAAAGGCATCGTGCCGGCGGTGCGACAGACATGCGTGTGTAGGTGTACGCGCGAACCTACCGGTTTTCGTTACTCATGTTTCACCACGAGTTATGGGATAGGTGCAGCGCTCACGACGTACATTTAGCAATCCGGGTGACAAGATCTTGTTTCATTGCAAGGGGACCGTTAGTCGTGACTTTGCAACTTCTCAAAACGAAAGAGACTGACGAATAAAACAGAAATGATAAATCTGGTTTAATTAAGACGAGGTAGCAAGTCTCTTATCAGCCCTATTGCAAAATTCCTCTATGTCATAATTTCCGCAAGATTCTGTTTTTCTTATTCACCATGCATGGTTTGTCCGCAATTTTATGGCAGAGGCTGTCGACAAGTTTATTGTTAAAATGATGACATTCGCTGTAATGTGGAGACGGGCGCAGTGCGATTACAGTATTATGTGGACGGCGTGCCCCAGAAAGTGCAATAAAAGCCGTAACTGCAATATCGAGTGTGGCGGCCTCTGGCGAGCGGACAGACGAAAAGTGTCGAGTGGGTGTTAGCGCGCCAGAAGCCGGCGCCATACGTTGCTGGCGATCCCGCTGGATGAGCATCATCGAACGTAATGCTGCAGCTCATGATACAAATACAAACATGCCCCTACTCCCACACACAGGGAGAAGATCAAACATCCACGCTAGACAAAAATCGTTATCACTCTCATCACAGTTGTAACTAAATAGGCCGCATGAATAAAAATTTGTTTGAAAGAAAACCCACATATTTGTCTTCCAAATTCCACTCGCTTTTTATATCAAAAGTGTGTTATCGTCATACTATTTGACTGACATCTCTCCCTGCAGGTGGGTGTTATTCAATCTTAGGCGATGGTTGCGGGAGTTCATTTGCGACTGAAACAAAAACGGTAGCATTTTAGACACGCTGGTATTTTATTACGCGTAAAGATTGCAACTTCTTTGCGCTTGAGAATTTACCGTATATATGAGGGACGGGGGATGGGGTAGGGGAGTGCGTGGGACGAGGCTTCGTAGCTCGGGTGCTGTCCTGTGATCCTCTCAAGTGCAACTGTAATTGTGAGTTGGATACACCCCCCCCCCTTCCCTCCTGTTCTCCTCCTCTATCAATGGGCTAATTAGCATGAATAGTATGATGGACAGCAGGGTCGGCCTGTAAGCCCTCCCATAGGGGCGGGTCGAGTAAGCTGCAGGATCTGGCTTCTCATTTACATGTCTATGGGTCTCTACATATCCTCTCTCCGTACAGTTGGCTCGCGATCCTTTGCCTGCTCTATATACAGCAGCATATTAATATGCTGTACATGTATAGAGCCTTCATGTACTATCGGGTATGCCTGAGTGCAGACACACGGTGGATGGGACAACGTATAGGACCCAGGCTTTCTCATTCGTCAGTTCGCAGTCACAGAGATCGCATCGCTTCCCCCTAGTTGCGTGTATTAATAACCAGTGACCCAATCGGGCCACGCGCGTAATACTACTACATGCCATCCAAGACGGACCAGCGCTTCCTTCCTATCATCATGCTACCAACCGGAGCCTATCGGGAATAGATACACGGTCCAGATCTCCTTCCGACGGATGTGTTCTCGGTGTTTATTATTATTTTTTTCGATACCAAGTCCACGATTCCTGAGGAAGAGATATTTGTACACCCACATGTCGCCGGTAGTTCTACTGAACGGGATTTTTCCGTAGTTTGCCAGCTCTTTTTAAACCCCTCTCCAGATCAGTGTGAGATGTCAGTCCAACGTCGCTGCGCGCATGTCGTAGATACTCGGACGATTGTTTATTCTTCCCTCCGAAGTTTGTGTCCGTGCACTGAACTTGGCCATCATCTCGTCTGCTTGGGTAGCGGACTCACCCCGGACCAGCGGCGGCTCTCTCTGACGCGCTGGGCACAATTGGACGCCTTGGTGGTACATCTTGTCTCCAAGTCGTGGCGAAAGTGCGGCCCAGGCCCTTGGTCTTAGCCCTCCAGCCCATGTCATCGCCACTTTATAACAACTCATGCTTCGTGCTAATATCCGGGACAAGAGCGATGTTTGTGGTGCAACGGATACTTACTACGTAAGCGCAATATCCAAATAAAATAACAAATTCTCTTCATAATTGGGATTCAATCATATTGTTGTTTTGTCAGTTCAATTTCGGTTCAAGAATGTCAGTTTATTTATATATGAAAGGGTACGGTACTGTTACCGGAAACCTGTATGTGCTCGTTGTATTTAGCGGCACCTGATTCAGACGTTGGATAGCAGGAGTTAAATTCATTTTATAACTTGCAGTTCATATCATCACATGGCACACAATAGACGTGCACAGACAGACAACCAGCAATGTTTTTTGCCATCGGACCAACCAACCGGACCAACATATCTCTTTCTTTCTTCTTCCCCAGACTGTTACATATCATCATCATCTGGTGTCTTAGCGTACAGGTGAGTCTGTTCTCTTTTATATGTGTAGGCCTTCTTCATTTATTGCATGTTTGTTTGTTGGTTTTTTGTTTGTTTGTTTGATTTTCCTTTTACTGGGGGAGGTTTAAGATAAGGTATAGGTCAGCATAATCCGTCGAAATTGTGTGAATTTTTGTTTACCTTTGAGCCAGTTTTCGCGACATCGTCTGCCGAATTTTGGGGTCAAACCTATTATTAGCCCGACCAACAAAATTAGTTGATTATTTTTTGTATTAAATGGGCCAGTGTAAATGTCCCAATTTTCGGGCCCCCATTGATATTTCCCTTGTATAATGCGAGGTCAACAGCTAACACGCCACTGTATACTGTGTCAGACTCAATGGTCTGGGGGAGATTGTCCGGAGTCCGGCCGCCTTTTTGATCCACGGACGCACGACTGGTCAGTCACAAGGGTCAGTTGGCCGATTGTAATTGCCTCCGATCAATTGTCCGAGTTTTTCATTCCCTCATAAACGCTGACCATTAGGTTAGAAAATAGCAGACGGCAATCGCTGCACTGCTGACCAATAATAATTATTTACAAAGGGTTTTTTATCAACAATTTCTCCAATGTGTCTGCGCGCGTATGTGAGACCTTATCATGTTTTTTCAACCAGTCCGATCAAATTTTAAAAATAATTCCAGCTCATATCAACCTCAATAAATCCATACCTAGAGGTTGTTGGCAATTTGCCATATGTATTCATAGACTTCGGATTACTTTTTTTTTAATCAGACTAGTTTTTTTTGCACCATCGTTTTCTTCCTGTCCACAGTCCTATATGTATATAACCGTTTTCTCCCAGCGGGGTGCCTTAGTTGTCCCCCTAAGCTGTACGTCTGCTCTTCTGTTTTCCCCGTACCCTTCCAAGGCCACGCAAGATGGTTTTATAAAAATCGACACAAGAGAAGATAAGGCACAATGGCGGACAATAGTCCTGCATGGATTTACCACAATGACCGTTTACCATTGAGCATGGATAAGGATAGAAATACAATCCTATTGCTGTATGTAGGCTACACTCCCTTGATACATTTTCACTCTTGTGTGTGCGCACTGCGACCGTTCTCACACAGCACCCATCTAGTTTGCGCCGTCTTCACACAACATTCATTACTCTTAAACATCGACCACTGAGTTTGTGGGACTGGTCAGTGTTTGACGTCATCATGCCCCTGCAGTGGAATCCACTGGTCTCCCATTTGGGCCCAGTAAAGATATTGTAATTTCTTGACCATGTCAAGAAATTACATTTTTAGAAGTGGGAGGAAAACCCCAGAAGATTATTCTGAGGAAAACCCACGAAATCAAGAAGGGACTGAAACCCAATCCACATGTTGGCCCAGGCAGGAATCGAACCCGGGACATTGCGGTGGATGGAAGGCCAGGAAAGTACCGCTACGTCAACCTGAACATTCAGTTTTCAATAAATGTATAACGTAATGGTCATGGCATTTTGACAATTCTCAGATGATGACCCACTTAAAAAAAAACCGCATTGTCTTGAAGTAACTTTAAGTTCGCCGACTTTCTACTGTTGAACTTTTCCCACCGCTGTCATTCGAACCAAACGTGTCCACAATAACGCGCAAACAACTCCAACCGTCCCGTTATGTGTGTTTTATCGGTTATGGTGTTTGCTTGCGACTAATGAAACGGGGCCAGGCTAGCTGCAGCGCCAGCCGGTAAAATTCAAGTTCAAATAATGATGCCTACCCACGTGTTGTTTGGCGAAGACGGTGTGTCGCCTGCGCCTACGCAACGCGTGGCGCCTCCGATGTTCAATTTGCCCGCCTGCCTTGGCCGCGCAAATGACGTGTGCCGACTTATTATACGCTCAGGCAAAAAAAATGCAGCGAGTGCCTTATCACGATGTGATCTTATATTAGGTGTTCTAATGATCTGAACACGCGAAATAAAACCACAAACATTGCGTGGGCAGCGCACAGGACTACGGTGTACGTTATCAGACCGCCACTGACAATGTAAATTTAGAATGTTGGCATTGTGTGTAAGCTTGATGGATTTCTTGGGCGTTGAAAGACAAAACGGTCAGGAATGGAATTCGAAATATTTTTGCAACAATTGTAAACCATCCTGTCATTTTTTCTCACTTGTCAAATAAATATAGCTTTTGATTTCCATACTAAGGGAATAATAGGCACATGTGAAATATTTCAAACCAAGACTCCGTACCATTTGGAGACCATAGGCCTACAGGCTACATGATTGTGCGTCATGACGGAAGGCCCGCAATGCGCACCAGAATTTTGCTTGCCCTTTTGATTGATTGCGAAATGCTGATTTATTTAGTTGTTAGTCAACTTTTCCTTATATCGAGGCTTGTCATCCTCCTACCCTTCTTCAGTTGTAAGCTGAAGTTATCTTGCTTCCCATTGTTTTTACCGGTTTCTATACCACCAGATGCCAAAACCTCACACCTAATGTTCGTTTTTCCTTTTGCTTTCCCTCGTCAGGAATCAGTCCAACAAGAAAACGAAAACAGCTTCGATCAAGGGTTGCTCGGGCTGGACTTAAGTAAATCCCAGCCGAATACCCTGCAGTTATACAGCCGAGCGAGTTCCAAAAACATACGAATCATGGGGAGAACCATCGACGCCAATGGGAGCGTTTGGGACGAGGATGGTAAGTCAAAGAAGAACAGGAAGATTCCTGTGTTGATCTCAAATTGTTTTGTACTTATGAAACCGCTTGCTTGCTTCATCGTTAACCGTCGTTGATCTTCATCGTTAATCGTTCTTCACGAATTGAAGAGCGCGAACTACACGTAAATAGTTGTTTTTTTTCAACGCAGAAAGGCTCCATATTTCTCGAAAACTCTCACAACTTAAGATGTTAAAGTCAAATGCATTCTATCAAAATTCTCCGAAAATTTCAGATCATAAGGATTGCCCCGTTGATTGAGGTCCCTGAAAAAATGCCTTGATCGTATTGTGATAATAATTCCCCACGTTGTGTTGGTCATTGTCCAGTAAAAGGACCTGCAGATCGATAGATACAGCTATAATTGTTTTGGAGTATAGCAATTAATTAGAGGAACTAACGTGGAACTATGGCGTCATTAAGTCATATAATATTGCTTGAAAATTAATGGTTGATTCGTGGAAATTGAATGCACTTTTCACTTGCTGATTAAGTCATTGTGCATCCCGAGTTAATTTATTGACACTCGTGGCCTGAAAAACAACAACAGGGAATTACAAGGCAGGAAGTGAGCAGCATTGTGGGATATATCTCAGTGATTAGTAAGGTACCAATCCTATGCATTATTCAAGAGCTGCAGCGGTTTCCTCGCGGGCCTATGCAAAGTCTGTTTTATAAAGCGCCGACTTGCAAGTGAAATTCCTGCTGCTATTATTAATAGACCGGTTTTCCTCAAATCAGTCAGGTAGGCCCGGTCGAAGAAGAAGACACTGCACTGCCAACCCAGGAAACGACCGTCAATTATTTATAGCAATATCGTGCAACAACCGCATCAGGAAAATTAAGGCCGAATTACCGTCTATAGAACAAGGACCCCGAATCGAGGAAATTCCTTGTTCGGTTACACGGTCTGGATTATACCGACTTCCTACCCACTAAATGGAGGAAACACGCTGCATATCGCAATAAAGAAGTTGTTTGTGCCTCGGACAACAACAAAAAGACATGATCCAATCCGAAATCCAGAGAGCATATAGACTGAATTCTTTGCCCGAAAGACAAATATGAACACGAGAACAAAACTATTTTTTGCTATTGAAAGGGGGATGGGGCCTATCCACTGTTCTCCCCGGAAGTAGCGGCTAGTTTGAAAGACTGACCGTGTTTGTTGAAACTGTTTGGGCAAGACTCTTCTGGCCAAGAATTGATGATCGGGGTCTGGTCATGTAGGAGACCTGGGGAGGGTGACCGGCACCGGTTACGTAAACACGACGGGTCGGTAGGCCTTGGTTTCGGGTCGCATCTTCGCTTATGCCGTGGCATCTTGAAATCAGACTGCAGACATAATGCCGTCCTTGCATCTTGTCCTTGTACTTGGGCCGTTGTACTTTCACCTGCGTCGTGCCCACATCCACCCGTGAGGCCTCATTCCTAGTGTACATTCCACGGTAATCTCGCGACCAAACCATATTGAACACCATCTCTTTGATAAGGCCAGTGATGTAAAAATGAATCAGGAAGGAACTGGACAATTTAGACTGAACCAATGGTCAAAGTAACCCTGAAATATTTGCTGTTGTATCCCCTTATTATTATATAGAGACGGTCATGCGACTTGGTCAAAGAGTGCTTACTTTAAGTCTGGTCGTGTTGGTTAAACATGTGTTTGGATTCTTTCTTTCCTTGTAGGGGCCTACCCGATATCCGCTAAGAATAAGGCATACTTCATGACTTTTAATGAATGAAGGACATTATTTCCCGGAGTCTTTCGAAATCCACCGTTCCTTCCAGGATATCCACGCAGAGCCGTTGGAGAGGTAAAATTCCTCATCCAGATTAAGGTTTCAATCCCTGTTGAGAACTCAGCTGCTTCCCTCAGAGATTGCTCTCAGAGTCTGAACACTCCTCCGCATCTCTCGCCATCTTGTCTGTCAACTATTCTCCGGGCTCCGTCCCCCACCTTCGGAATTACAAGAACGAAAATGACGTGCATGTTTGTAATTTTCCCAACCGATTGCTTCTGTCTCTCTCTTTTTGGCCTGCCCTTTTGGCCTCTTGTGTTGTTTTTCCTCTCTTGCCCATGTCCCATTGCTTCATTCCGCCGTTCCTCCCCAGGGGATTCTTGGCAAGTAATACACGGACACTAAACGGAGCCTACAGCTCCTTCCATCACAAGTGCACAGACCCTTCGCATTTTCTTGGCTGCCTCCTCATCCTCAGCCCTTGTTAATCACGGCTATCTGGTGTCCTGGACACGAGCAATTTTCTTTCCACAAACAAGGCAATACACTGTGACGGCTGATGATTTCTCTCTCTTTTTTTCTCTCTCTCCCCATTCTGTTCTTTTTTTTTCTCTTTTCTTGCCGACCGTCGCCCGGTGATTTACATGCCACTGATTGAAATCGTTCGGCGGCAACCTGATCATGTACTGAATAATTTATCGCTAAAGGGACCTAGTTTATGTTACTCGGGACTCCGTTTGGGGAAATCCAGGCAGTACATGTATATGATGTCTCGGTAGTATAGGACTGACTCCTGCATACACAATGATAGGCAAGTAACAAGCTAAATGCATTCAATTACGAGAGGGCGACAAGCAGGAACTTGAAAGGATTCACTTAACCTCGTTATTGCGGCCATCTGCTCAAGAGGGCAACCTGTCTGATAAGGCCACATGCCTACCCACCATGAATACTCATGTACCTTTGGAATAACAACCACAATTGCGCTCGTCAATAAGCAGCATTTTTACTCATATGTAACACTCTGGAAATTGTAACGAGGCAAATAAACCCTTAATAGTCACATTTTTCATCAGTCACCGACCCCAAAACTGAATCTGGAATAGTAGGTGTATAGGCCTATAAGCCCCAAAGCCATTAGTCCTGTAATTGAATTTCATTAAAACTAAATATAACTGAGGAAGTGTGACATGATTGAGTTGACCGGATTTTACATGACTGAATGTGCCTCACGCCGAGTTGCATATTTCATGCAAAATACACGTAACAGTGACTTGTGAAGCGCATTGGGTTATCCCACACATTGCTTGCATATCTGACGCGGGAGCACGAGTCAGTCATGCAAAGAGGCTTCCCACGACGAATACAGTGATAATCGACCAAAAAAGCTCCACAAAACACGGGCAATTTATCGTCTGTCACACTCATTCAAAAAAAAACTTTTGTTCCCTTTTAATAATAGCATGTATATCCAGTGCAATATCTTACTTTGAAACGCGAGCTTTGTATTTCCAAAATAAAAAAGGAGAGGAATTTAAAGGGAAAAAAATAGAAGGGACCGACCTTTACCGCGACAATGCGGGAAGAAAAATGGCTGCCAAACCTGCACACGATTGCCATAAATTGACTTCTCATTCACACACCTTTTGTCGAACAACAATCAACAGAATACCACACACGCAACAGCGAAGAAAGTCAAAATAACCCTCGGCCAAATCAATATTGTGTTTCTAAAATAATGACCCGTTGATTATTCCGGACAATGGTAATGACATGTGGTCTGATCGACTTTATTTTGTTGTCGACTTTAACTCATCCCAAATCGCTTTGTGGCATTGTGCTTTGGGAGCGTAACGAGGTCCGGCATTGGTCCAACATTGGTTCTGGAATGTGATAAATTAATAGTGAGTTTCGCAATGCCTTGTCCCGCCTCAACATGTAAAGCGTTTATCGTTTGAAGAAACCTTCCACCAAGCACGGAGGTCCGACTTTTTAAGGAGGAGTCAGAGGATCCATCTCCAACAATGAAGTCTGTTATTTCGTGACTTAACCAAGCTTTCAGTAGGGTAAATGTTTGCCTTATTTTCAGATTGTTCCTGAAGCCGCAAGAGGTTTTGTGGATCGAGCCCCCAATCATGTCCACTTAGACATAGTGAGCTTATTATGAGCTCCTTTTTTCACAACTTAATCCTCCCCCGTTCCCGAACAAGGGCTTTGAATAGCAAATCGAATCAACTGTCATTATTTACCATGGGGAAAAGACTAAAAGTCACAAACCCCCTTTCAGGCAGCCATTGTGCCTCGTTAAAGTTAGCTCAATGGCATCTTAAGTCAGCACTTAGCTGCACTTGTCCGCACTAGAAAGTTCGCGGGAGAGTTTCTGAGCATGACAGCTGGAAAGCCGCACTACACATCGTCTCCTCCAATTCTAAGAACTAGCTCTTCCCCCTTCGTGGTGCAACACACAAAAGCAAATATCTGCTACATACTCCATATACGGAACTATAGCTGTCATTAGACGCGATTCTCAAAGTTCCATGCAGTTTTCTTGAGAACCGAGTGTTCAGTCCCCGAAAAACAGCTTTGAGCTTTAAGTGTTACAAACATGTTATTGTGGAGGCAGCGGGTAGTATAGACGTTTTGAGAGTCGGTTCAGATATCGTGATCGAAGATCTTTTAAGCCCCTATATGCCCTCCAGTCTCGGCTATTTGTTTGCAAGGCCAGGGAATTTGAATCAGTTCTACCTCTGTACAGTTGGTGTTACGTTCACGAGATTTTGTGCCTCTTTTGTGTTGTATTAAGCGCTTAATCCGTAATCATGTGTGCCAACCTAAACTGTTTGGCAAGGCCGGATTTAGAAACAGGCCGCGGATGCGTATATACACTTTAGGGGACTTTCCAAGTTGCCACAACTTCCCCTGGACGCAAATATTGACTCAGTGTGCCGAATCATGTTTTTAAAAAAGTGAAAAATTCGGTCCAAAAGCTTTTTCACTCTTAATGATTATTATTAAGAATAGCTTTATGCCAAAGGATCGTTTCTGTGGACATGGATTCTCTTGTTTTGTAGAAGAAATAGATGCCATAACCCATAAGATGAAGGAAGAAATACGGTCATCTAAATGGTCGCCTGGCTGTTGAACCAAACTCGACGACTATTCTGTGTTTGCTTTCAGTGAATTGTTGTTATAGATGAAGGCTAAGACCTCACAGTTAAAGAGAAAATAATTACGTTCCCATCGTGTGTTGGCTTTGTGCGCGTGTAGCATGTCTTTTAAAAGCAGATCCTTTACAACCTAAAGAAAACATCTCGCCGTGACTCAAAAGACAAAATTGTATTTTTTTTTGTGGTTTTGGGGCAAGGCAGGGCTTCCCTTCCACCAACAAAGAGTTGAACCTTGGAAAGTGTATTGGACAAGCAATCAACCTCCATTATAGGCCACCCAATGAGACCCTGCAGTCGGTCAGACGCGAAGAAAACAGGATGCCAGACAAAAACGAAAAATTGTAAAGAGTACCGAAATTAATCTTCAAAGGTTTCAGCGTGTGTTAACATACTGCACAGAACACGGCTCGCAATCCTGTCCCTAATTTCAACACCCCCAGAAAAAAAACTAGCATGCACTGTTAATGTTACACCAGCGAGCGGAAATATACCAAGCCCTTTCAAGAACATCCGATGCCCCATCTTATTTACATCTTGAAAACAAACATAGTCCCCTGACGTTTCCGCCCGTTGATATCTCCCAACCAAACATCAAACAAGTGGGAGGATGATAACGATGACAGAATCCATCACTTCTAGGTTGGTGACGTCATATCAGTGCTCGTCGCTTGCTCATTCTTTTCCTCTAAACTCCATAGATGGCAATCTCGTTTCACAGTCGGGGATGAGGCAGGCAATTTAGCGCGCGTACATCGTCGCTTTTTCTGAAATAGCAACCATCAGAGGTGTCTCTCTGACGTCACCGACCGGGGAAAAAATCATTTACATGAAAGCTAGAATTAACACGGCTTGAGCTTGCCAGCCATACCGCTGACAGAGCTTTGTGATAACCCAGATTGTATCTTGCTAATTGGGTCTCTTATCTATAGCCGAGAGAAATGTTGCGTGTCGAGGGGTCTAGCATTGGGGGCGTGGTAGGCTTTAACGCCCCCTTTCTCGCCCACCATGTTTCAGGCGTCTCCTGAAAATTGATGTTGCATGCGAGAGACATCTGAGAAATAGGGATCGCCATGGAATTCGCCATCGAGATGAATTTGCTGTTGAACTGAGTTGTTTCCTTTGTGTATAGAGAATAGACGCAACTGCCTTGAGAGAGTCACTTCATTCTGCTGTAGAAGAGACACACTTCCTCGCAAATCTTTCGAACCCACAATGCCTGTGATACACTGGCTACAGTAAACTAATTACAAGTCTTCGTAAACATCCCAGTTGTCCGATTTACAAGTTTCAACAAAAACAGTGGAAGGCAACCTGAGGATGGTAGTAGGCCTACCTCGTTAGTAGTGGAGACATGCCAGAATAAGATCGCGTACCTCATCAAGCTTTTCAAATTACAGTGGTGTTTGATTTGGGCGATCTAATCACACGTGATACAGAAACGAGGGTTTTTCCATGCAGGCGGTGCTGCCTTTGAAAACGGAGGTTTTTTTCTTGTTTTGTTGTTCAACAGTACCACAAAATCGTTTACGCTTCGCTCGCTGTAAAATTAGTAGGGACTGTTTAAAGGTTGGATGATTTTTGTTAGCCTGTTTTATTTATTCTTTTAACCCTGCATGTCGGATTTGTTAGGAGGTTTGAGACTGTCAAAAGCCGGGATCTTGAAAACTGCAGCGACACGTTGCTGGTTGCAACATTTACTGCCAATCAATTAACTTTGCACCTGTTGACGATAAACACGACACCTCCTTCTACCACCACTACTATGACAGCCAATCTCCAGATGGCTCTGCAGTGTTATCGGTGGGTGGCTACCGGTCTTACGCTGACAGGTTGTTTTATGCCAATACCTGGCCTGTGTCACATACCGGCGGGTCTCGAGGCATGCCGCCGCGAGTTAACGAGGCGCGCGTGACCTGCTGAAGGGTCAGATCAGTGACAACAGGTAGGGGGGTCGGTAGTGGTAAGGGCTCATGGAAAACAAACCACTGGATAGTTCAGATCAGATAACGTCAAGGGTTGTACCAAAAGAGCGATCGTGGATTATTTTAGGGAAAGGTTGAGTCGGGTCGAACAGAGAGGTACGACAGAAACATGGAGATATTCACAGTGTCATGGTGTGTTCATACCTCTATGATCATCATCGAAGATGCTTCTGATCAAAGGCATGTCTGTCTAGGTCTGGCACACATTTTGATAACTTGTTTGTAGATTGCATCAATGAGCTGGTGGTTAATAAATGGGGTTCATTATTGTTCAGAAGCAAGATCACAAAAAAATTCTTGAACAACAATTTTGAACCAACAAGCCCGAACACAGATTTCTGTATCAACCAATCAAGGCAGTGAATAGTAGTTCTGACAAAGGCTGAAGTCTACAGTGAAGGTATATACTTCGTTTGACGTCAACAAGTCTTGTGTCGACCACTGATAGTCATTGTCCAGCGCCATATTGACACCGCACATCCTGATAATCGCGAGCATTATAAGGTCACTTTCGAGTCTGGCCGCCGCCACAACCTCCTAAAGTCTTCAGAAACTGTCCCCATTAACCCCAATAGAAGAGACTAGTCGGTCCAGATAAACACAAGTGGTTCACTTTCCATCGTGACCTACATAGCGGTCAGAATCCCGTTAAAAAAAAAGAAACTGAAACAAATTATCCTTTATGTCCAAATTTGATGGCAGCTCTGTTCAGAGTTAGGGTTTAAAACCGGGTCTTGCTTCTCGATCGCTCGATCTGATAGGGTCTAGGACCCGGGGCTATTCCGCAGTGTGAAGCTTTCTACTCGTTTCAAGTGGTTGGATCCATATGGGTGTATTTGGTGGACTGGCTGGCGGGCAATTGACTGCCAATTTTTGTTTTTGTCGTATTTTGATGGCGGTCTCCTGGTTGACCTCTCTTGACCTCCTTTCCTCGTTATTAGTCGGTAATAATGGGCAATAACTGTGACATTCCTGGGCTGATAAGAGCGTGCGATTACAGATAAGAGCTGTCGTCGCCGACGACTCCTGTACACTTGCTTTCTCACAATCAACTGCAGACTGCTATTTTCTGGAAATAGGACATATTTTTTCAGTTCTTTCCTCGAGCAGTTAGTACCATTATAAGGACAGTCTGAATGTGTTTTTTTAACATTAAACCAGAGCTTATAATGCTGGAGTGCAGGTTGTTGGGGTTGGTGGTCGGGGGGAAATGTATTTTGCCGCAATTTTTTCTTCTCAGCATTAACATCGAGGTGTGACAAAAAAATCCCAAACAGTTGTCTGTCGGATAGGCGTCTCATGTTCGTGTGCATATGAGAGTATTGTGCTGTTTTCAAGCATGGGGAGATTTCAGAATTCGTACGTGTGTCTACTGCGTTTTATTCGCCCTTGTCTACAAATTGAAAAAAAGATGCACTCTCACAAGCAGCAATGTTTGTCGCCATTTTGTCGCAGTGCTAGCCAACCTGTAAACAATTCAATATCACTGTCCATTTTGTGAGATACATTTGGCAAATTTCTCCACTCCACCAGATCATAGCCAGCAAACGGCAACCACTCAGGTTCTAAATAATCAATTATGTTTGGAGATGTTGGGAAAATACGATGAATTCTAGATGGGATACACTGGTATTCTGATTCTAAAGTGTAGTGTACCAGTGACTATCGGGTTACCAGCCTTATTTCGTATATTGTGTTCAAATTCTCAATCTGCTGAATGCGACCTTATGTATGTAAATTATTGTTGTTCCCTCATGCATATTCATATTTGTTGTCCTTTTTCTTGTTCCTCCAGCAAGACTTATAATCCGGTCGGATTCACTGGACGGCCGGATAACAATTCAAGGGGAACACACGGGATATTTCTTGTGCATCAACAAAAAGGGACTCGTTGTAGGACGGGTGAGTACTTTTTCTTTGGCCTTTAAAGGGAATCCCCCCTCTCTAAAGTTTTTTTTTCCGGGTGTATTGAGGTCGTTCTCTCGTTCATCAATCAAAATATTGTGAAATAGCCTACACTGACATTTATATTGTATCTTTTGTGGGTATTTTCTGCGTATTTATATCGCATGAAAAGGGAAAGAATTTTTTTACACCAAAGCGTTACTGTCGCCTCTTCTTTTTTTCTACCCTTTGTCAAAGAAAAGACCGCCTGCAACGTTTGCATACTCACTGTTGTGTGGTTTTTAATGGCAAGATGGCGGGTGGTGTAAACCCTTACCGTCAAACGTTGCACAGTCAAAAACTTGAGTCATCTTTAGTTTAATACCTTTAGTTCATCCAAATAGGCTACACTATGAGAAAGAAATTGGGAATAGGGAGTGTAAAACCTTTAACAGTTTGGGCATATACACTCAGAATTTATTTATTATTTCAGTCGTAAGTCACAGACTGTGTTGTCGCTCATAGCGTGTATAGGAATGATAGGTTTGGCTTCAAACTGCTGTACCCAGTCATGTTACACAGCTTCACTCGAGAATTTGCCCCATCACTTCCCCTCTGATGGCGTGCTTAGTTAAGTGTCAACGCACCATCAACGGTTGCATCCTTGTAGCGAAAATCACTGTCTCATCTTCGTTTTAAAGGGACTAACAAGTCATTACATTGGACCATCAACTTAAGCAAAAATTTACCCCCAAAAAACATAGGTTTCTTACGTTTACGCATGGAGGAATTACGTGGGATCTTAAAGGGATTCAGTACGAGTACATGTCTTCGTTCGTGTGACGGAGTTGACAAAAATGGTGGTCCTTTTTCTGGCCTGCGAGTCGACAACAACCACTAACAAAGTTTATGGTCTGGTAAAGGTTTGACGTCTGTAGACTCTATCACAACGGTCATTATTGGTACTGCAGCTATTCAATTTGTAGTAGTTGTTAATGAGACTATATCAAGTGCATTGTGCATATAGACCACTTTGTTCCTTGCTGACCATGGCTGCATGTTTTCCCCCCTGTTTTCATGTCGTATTTGGCTATTGCATTATTGCATGATATGCTGGTTCCATACTATTCATTTTAGTTCCAGTTTCCAGCTGTACAATGCTGTCAAGTCAAGTTGCAATCGTTAAGGATCTCTTTTATTCTTATTGAGGGAACAGCTTCAGAGGCTATCGGGTTTCTTTCTGAAAGCAGAGCTAAAAAATCAAACCTCACAATATGGAAGACCCTTGAAAAGCTGAAAAGATATTTCCCAATTGTCCTACAAAGAAAATATTCAGTACGTATTGTGCTCCATGTTCATTTTTATATCGCAAGGTAATACACACGGAGTTACACTGAATACATCAATGCCACTGGGCTATACACGTGTGTCGATTACCACGACGGAAGTGCGCTTAATTGCCCAACGTTTATGAGTTCCTACAGCTCACCGTTCTAACCCAATCTGCTCTCGGGCAAAGAGTCGTCTGGCGCTAAATTAAAGACAATTCGCGCTCCAACTGTCCCGCTCCGGCCCGCAGAGCCTTGTGCTTTTCTATGCTTTCTACTTTTAATTCCATTATCAAAATTGACGGTTTTTTTTTACCCTTTTGTGAAACCAGACCTCCCCTGTTCCTCCCAGCAAAAACAACAAGGGCGACTTTGTTGGTTGAGTCTGGTAGGTTCCGCCCGGCCCGGGGTGAGCTTCGGGTTTTTCTACGGCTTCTTTCATTGTGAACTGCGGCTCACCCTCTATTTTTTTTGTGAGTGGATCATCGGTGGATGAAAATGGAGCCGTAGCTTCGGGATGAAGCTGATACCCAAGCACCCCGGGAACATTATTTCAGATTCAATAATATTTTAAATCTATCGCATTTAGTAGAGTGCCATATCCATTGCATGTTTAGCTCGAAAGTTTAAGTCATCCCTCAGGTATAGAAACTGAGAAAGGGGTATCAATGCGAGCATTTCATTGTCAGTTTGTTCGCCTTTACTTTAACAAAAGTAAGTGAACAAGTTTGGACGCCACTTCTTTCCTAGTTGCTTACCAAAAAAATCTAGGACAGGCATTATTGGCGTTGCAAAAAGCAACTTCAGTCTCAAGTCTTAGAAGTCTAGTTCCCAACCTCCTCTGTACGGCATTGGTCTGGTGTCATTGCAGTTAATTTACCGAGTATGTTAAATGCGCGGAAAGCACGTGTACTGGCCGGGTAGGTAGGCAGCAGGAAGCTAGACTCAAGAGAGAGTGTTGAGAGACTTTCACTATTTTATAGGTTACCGAGACCAGTAAATAGACTGCCATAAACCTCAGTGATAATTACGCACACTTCCCAACATTATTAAAAAATACAACTAACCACGGTGTTTGAGACACACATCAAATTGAAACTTATTTCACAATCTTTCATTTTCAGTTAATTGTTTGGTGGTTAACCAATGACTTTTGGGAGAAAATTCCATCCAAAGATGAGCACCGCTAAAAGTAGTCCTGAAGCCCATCGCCATTTTGAAACTGGGACGCACGCTCCATTGCAACATGTAGAGCCATTGCATGGCCTAATTTCAACCGAATTTATGCGAGCTCGCAGTCCCCTGCACGGCTTCCATCCTTCTTTTTTTTTCACAAACCCTCAAGTTCATGGTCCTCAAAATGTTCTAATTGACCGGAGAATTTGAGGGCATGCAAATCGTGATTTGTCCAGCGTTGGCAATTTCGGGCCTATTTGGCCTGCACCCTAAAGGGCCTTGGATCAGTGAAACCCTGGCCCACGGAGCTATAGTCTACGTTACATGTGGCCAAAGGGATGTACACTGAATACAGTGCAACTTATACTGATACAGGGTTTAGTTTTTCCTTTCGAAATAGAAAGAGATGTCTGAGCCTCACAACTTAACTGTTTCGCCGATATCCTGGTTGAAGGGTCAGTGAAATACTTGCTTGGCCAGTGATTTGTTTCACTGAATTCCAAAATGAAAACAAAGGAAAGCTGATCACAAATTGACCAACAGGGAATTGCTTCCTTACATTCTCATGTTTTTTGGTGGCACGATTATAGTCCACAACAAGCGGGAAATAAAGAGACTGAAACCCGGATGCTGTATACATTTTGAAGAAGCCTTGACATAAACGTGAACTCCGTATTCACTAAAGTGGGTTCAACTGAAAAAAAGTTGAGGCTTATACATGACATGACTAAGGACTTTTCTTATGAGTATAGAATGGTATCCCTGTATGTTAACTATATAATGTAGAAGGATATACACTGGATGTACATGTACGTAGACCATTTTGTACATGCATGTATACTGGTTTAGCGTAGCATTCCTCATACACAAAAGACTCCTCGTTATTCTAAAGTTGTCCATGCCCGATTTACTTTCCTAAATCCAACGTCCTTCAGGTATTTTTCTAAGGCAGGAACATCAGTCTCCCGACACTCTGTGTTACGAATAATATCCTCAGCTCTTGTCGGGTAATTCTGGGATAAAAACGAACATGTGTTAGCGCGCAGTGGTCTGAGAGGGGCTCGTCGGCCATCAACGGCCCTTGTTCGCACCAGACGGGCCGTGCTGGATACTCCCTGTTTAATTGGTCAGGTGTCCAGATGGATTTGTCGGGCTTTCGTCTGGTCTGACCACCCCGGTGTGACGGCGTTTTGTTGGGGAGTAAAACTGAAGAGAAAAAAAGTGAAAGAAACCGTTTGGCCGAGGTTAAATCGGTCAGAAGGTTTGAGGTGGCTGCACAACCTCTGGAATCGCGTGGTTTTACATGCCTTTCCAATATCTCTGTTTGCCTTTATGATAAGATGTTCAATAGCTCATCTCACAACCACTTGAACCATAAAGGACTTACATGGGGTCACCTTAACTAGGGTTTCTTGTAAATTGATGTTTCCACAATACAAAATAGTTCGATCTCTTCATTCGATTGCCAACGATCTAGTGTTTGAGAAATGTTCAAGTATAGGCCTAGTTGCTGCTTGCCACTCGTTCACTGGCTCATTGCGCTGTGGTTTTTTTTTTTCGTTTTAAGATGCATAAGATTGTCTTTCAACAATCAAACTGCAGATGCATGTCGTTTGACATGTTTTAGTTGTGGGACCACATTGTATTATCTTTCTTTGTTAAACTATTAAACAGTGCGACGTGTGAACATTTTACTGCGTTTAAAATGCGGAATACTATAACAGCAATAGCCCGATCAGATTCAAAGATGAAGAAGTTACCAATTCGTGTCGGAGAGAATACATTTACGTACCCCTAATGATCTCTACGGCAGGTGTAATTATATAGATTCAGGCTCCTTGAATGAAAGGACGACCAGTCAGCTGAGCTTCCTTGAGCATTTGTTCACTATTAAAAAAAGTCCCGGGTCTGATTACCCCCGGAATCCGGGTCATATTCGCCCTGATACTTTACGGGGTAACACGACACTCACCTTGATCATTTTCCGGGTAATTTTGACCCAGAGACCTTGACAACTCTGGGACCTCTATAAGAGTGACATAAAACTTGCAAACTGAAAACGCAGTGGTTTTGATTACAAACCTTTCCTCTTTTATTTCCCCTTCCATTTCCCAGAAGAAGATCAAGAGAGAAGGCAGTGTATCGTGTGTTTTTACGGAAACCATAAGGAACACCTACACGGAGTTGAGACTGGTCCAGAAAACCGAGATGTACCTGGGATTCAATAAGGACGGACAAGCCATTCCGGCTCACCGGACTCGGCCGGGCGTCAAGTCCGTACAGTTCTTGAAACGGCCCCTACCCGAGGACAATCCCGCCGATGATACCTCCATGAGCTCGGCAAACAGTTATAGCTTCTACGAGTTGATTCGGCAACTGGCGACGAATGTGGACGCCACAAGGAACGAGGACACAGCCAGCTGATGAATAATTCATGTTTTTACCACGTCGCACGCATCAATCGTCCGCCTTGCCACGGACCAATATTCTCCCCTTCCTCCTCCCTCAAGAACTAGCTTATGTAAGTTTATGTATATAAAGTGTAACGATATTTTTATATGAAGATTGGTAATTTATATCATTGTAAATTAATATTGTACCAAATGACTTCGAAGAAGTATTTATTTATTACGCTGGCTTGGTGACGAAAAAACACGTGGCGACACCGCATTGGACGAAGTGGGACCATATAATTATGCTTGTGAGAACGGCCTGTTGAGCATGCGTGATGACATCTTGTTGTGCACAGCGACGCACTCGTGTCACGGAGTTCATACCACGCAAACCGAAGCACCCGTAGTACACTTCTTGAGTCTTCTGTTCGTGAAATAATGCTAGGACTTCCATCTTCCGCAACACTGCCAAACCACGGATAGCAAGGCATGCATGGCCAGCACAACAAAGGACATGGCCGCCGCAACATTGTGGATCATTCCAACTATACACATGTGTACTCGGAACGTTCATAGGACTGTGGATTATGGGTTACAAGCTGCTTAAACTGGTACCCACGCTAAAAGGCTCGCTTGATTGGACTGCAGACGACCCTGGTTACCATTCATAAAAGGCCAGTTAATTGACACTCCATTTTTGTCACCATTAACAGGCAAAAATCTTTGAAATGTGACCAAAGGAGGGCCAACTGCATAAATGCGAAAGAGTTTCTTCACATATATACATTCATAACTGGTTAGACTGGTACCTCGCCTATCTCTCCATAGTACCTTCCCTTTACCTTCTGGTAACTAAACCAAGATGGCCGCGAATCATAAGCCTGTTCTCTGTTTGGTAACGAAATGGGGTTCAGTCAACTGGTCTTTTGGAGTAGCCAGGTGATATAGCACAGGTGCAGCCACGTATATCACGTGACTGAAAAGCCGGTCATTCTTTTATTCCTACTGAAACATGATATGGTATATTATCTACTCTTGTTATATTAAGCTGTATATGAATGTGTCGTTGATTATCATCCTTAGGGTATAATCTACATCTGAAAAAAGATAAATGTGCTCAATTTTTGTATCCCAAATAATGTGTAAATTCGAAATTTTATTACTGATTATTTGGGGTGAAAGAAGTGACATATTGAATTCATACCTAAGCTTCTAGGCTCAAGGCGTAACGAATTTCGAGATAAGTGTTTTTTGGTAAAAATATGATCTAACCAGTGGTGGTGCATTTTCATTCAATGTTGTAAAGTCTGAAGACGAAACAGATATAAATACAATGTGTGTGCGTATGCTTCTTTAAAAAAAAATCAGTACAATGTATCTATATTTACCATATTTACAACAATTTAATAAGCGAACAAATTCAGCATTTTGAGCACACTTGGTCAATGTGAAAATCGCGTGTACGATAGATTCGTATTTTTACTGCGTAAATGATGAAGGCGTTTGGGGCGCCATTCCGGTTCATGTTTACATACAGACGGATGTGGATTGGTTTAAATTGCATTAGAAACTGCTCGTTGTTGCGGGTATAAAGAAGAGCATTAAAAAAACAGGTATCTCATAATACATTCTTTCCATTAAATATAGACACTATAATTGGTATTTAAGGTCATTTAAAAAAAACAAAAAAAAAAAACGATCAGTGGAGTGCCGTTGCATTTCTTAATCCTGCATTTTGATCCCCCTGTTTGTATCCCCATGTCAACACGTATTTCAACTACAGGTACTCATTCCACAGATTTGAACGTACGATTGCGGACATTCAGTTGAAGTCCTAACTTGTAGGCCCCTAACCGTTGCTAGGCCGATGTTTGGCATTGATACTTGTTGGACGAGGATGTGTACAAAGGTCATATGTCACGAACGTCCGGGGTCTATGTAACATTGTCAGTGATTGGTTCATTCGGAATCGGGCTTTGGAAAAAAAACTTGGCTTGCAAGAAACTCAAATCACTCGCTATATATCTGAGAACACCATTGGGTTCTTTGTACGGCTGTAATGCACAAATAAAGCCTGTGAATTCAAAATGGCAGACAAAATTTGAAGGAAAAACAAGACGGGCGTGTCTGTAACTATGTCACATTTCTGCGATTTATCTTGGTTAATCATGGGCTTACATTGCTTTGAGCTTCACACACCTGCAAGTCTTTTCACGACAACATCTTTTCTACAGATAGCCTACGTACTTTTATCGGACAGCTGGGAATTTTTGCACTAAGACGGGAGTAAATCTACGCAAAGAAACACAAACTTCGTTGTCGGTGCAAAAGCACATTGTCACATCGGTCAACTTTTCGGAATAGAAGAGTTTGCGTAGTACAAGGAATCGTAATATGAAGAATGAAATATACTTAGCTTTGAAATTAATGCATTTGGGCTATATTGTCCCGAAGGATGACGACCTTATCTTGCAATCGGTCTAAAGTATTTGGTCTTAATTTTAGGCCAACTAGCTATATTTGTGGAATTGTCTGTGCAGTTCTGTTGTAATGGGGTGAGGTCCACAGTTGCCAACCGTGACTGCACCGTTGACAACCTGCATCCGCGTCAGGTTCGTGAGCATGAGCCGACGAGTAGTCAATGCATGGCCGACGGGGGGAAAAGAAGTAAGGGGCCACTATTCCCACCGGACGTACCCCTATTTCCGAGATCCCGGTCGGTTGTGAGTTCATGACCTGAAACATTGCTTTTGCACTGACCCCCCTAAGGTACAGCCAAGTCCTGATTCCAATCAACGTGCTCCTCGGTCTTCCGTATTCCGGAGTTCAGACCTGATACTTTTTGATTGATCTAGGGGAGGATGCGGTGTTTTTTTTGGCCACAAAACATCTGCCATCCTGACGGTGATTCATTCAAATTTAGACATTTTACAATGTGCCCCTCAAATAATTCTCGCATTTATCGATTAACACGCGAGTTTAACTTGCAGTAAATTCTCAACAAAATCATCGCAAGTCAATCATAAGTCATTCAGTCTCAGGTCCAGTAACAAGCTTTTCAATTGAAGTGTAATTAAGTGTTTTTGCACCGTTTTTCCCCCGCCTCCCCCCCCTTCCCCCCGTTTCTGTCCCATGATGTCTGATTTGACCTATGATCGACTTCGAAGTCGAACCAGTCACTCTCTCAAAAGTGTAGGCCTCGTGTTCTGTCGTGACAAATTAACGAAATGAAATTTAAAGTTTTATTTATAATGTCCTACCTGCTTGACGAGATACCCTTGTTGCGAATTGGGCATTACGTCACCGGTACCGTCACCTACCACTCTGATCCGAAATGTCTTACCCTTTAGAATACGTGCCGTACGTGGCAGAATTATACTTTGTGCAATAAAACCACGTTTAGTCAGCAAGACCAGGACATCAACTATGGAGAAAACAAATTGTTGCAGGATTCTATTAAGTAAACATTGTGTTTCCTGTATATACATTTAAAGAATACATATACAAGGTTTGATTCAAGCCATTGTGTGTTGGGTCTACGCATGACTGATACGACATGAATGGAGGGTTTCCACACGTCGTCACGTAAATGGTAGACTACAACATGTTTTTTGTCCGCTTTGATATAGTCCATGACATGTTGTACGCCAGACGGAGCGAATGGTAACAGAGACGAAAGTGTCGGTGCCATTTGCCCCCCATTGGTAACAAAATCCATGGACCACATCATAACAGACAGCTCTTACTTATGCTTAATGGAAACAGTGTGTCTATTAGAAGTAAGTTGATTGATTAAGGCAAATGATGACATCCCTCAAGCACATTGTTATCCCGATGTGAACAGCTAGCTCCCAGTTCGTGACATTTCTCAATCTAGTACCATGTATCAGTTTAACGATAAGGAACCATCATAAAGCCATGCTTTCAGATGTGTGCTACTCAAGCTGGACACAAAATGTACATGTTTATGGTAGCTGGCCAATAGCATTGCTGGTAAGAAATCCAACAAACACAAGTCGTGTATAATACAGCCCTTGATTGGTCATAAGGTGGTTAGCGGTTAGAAGTGAGTTGCAACACTAGAAATGTGAGTGGCTGTTGTTTGATATCACAGAGTAACTGCTCACAGAACTCATAATCATTGAGTAAAAAGGTACCATCAAACTGGAGTAATTTGATTCAGTATTTTAATTTTTGTCGGAAACAAAAACACAAATTTTGGTGTTCACTTTAACAAAAAATTGAAACCAGACGGTTTCTTGTAAAAAAGTTCGTTGCATAAAGGCTATTTGGCACTGACAAGCCAAAATTTCTTCCTTGACCACTGCCGGGCCATGAAAAAAGGGTATCCTTTTTGCAAAAAACAAAACGGACCCACTTTTTGCAATGAATTTCCAGTTGTCATTTTCATGAATTAAAACAGATGATTTTCGGGTGTGTCCAGGATATGACGAGTCGTTTTCGTGGCCTGGCGGGGCAGAGTGTTTTGTAATAGCCAAATCAATCAAATGTGTAATGTTGGTATAAATGTTTTAATAACAGTGTTTTGAAATTGACATGCCGCGGGACCAATGTTGTTGCTGTTTGGTATATAGGTAATTCCAAAATCTTGGGGAAAAAACATAAAGCAGTCAAAATAATCAATTGAAGCTATTATGATCAACATTGTTTCAATATAATTATTTTAAACAAATAGTTGGTGGGTGGTTATACGCCGATGGTGCTGAATAAAATATGAAAACAAACAAAAAACCTGTCAATTTAAAAGCAAAACGAAGTTTTGAAGGTTTTTTGGTCTAATTATTATGTTGTTATCCAGTCTTTGTTGAAGGCTTTTTTGAAGAAGGAGTAGAAAGGAGTGGCTCTTCCACCACCTCCAAGATTTGAAGTCAATAGACCTTATCTACGAGGAAGTCATTTTTGATCGTGTTCCCTGAATGTATTTTATAAATTGTAAACTGTTGAATGGGATGGCGCCAGACTATTTATGATTTGAGGGCGTTCCAATGCCTCAATTTTAAAATGTGGATTAAACATTAGGGTATGTTTAATCACGCATTTAAAAATATACATCAGAGCAGACTGGTATTAATGAACTTGTTTTTCATTGCCTTCACTTCTACTCGCAAGTTCCAAAAATGAAGAGTTTACCTCTCTTTCAATTTAATATGGCCGACTCGTGAGTAAAGTCTGTGACGATTCCTATTTACCGGTGGACACAGAGAGTTCGTGCCTAGTTAACGCCCACTTGAGAAATCATTTCCCCTTTTCATCAGCGCAGGTGCGGACAACCTTAAATAATAACATTCATCTTTAGGAGAACTGTTTGGTCCTTCATTTCATCAGTTGCAGTTAGGCCTAACCTTCAAAACCACATCCCTACACACACACGCACAAAAATCAAGTCCTTATAGACGTCAGACATGTGACACATGTCACTCTCTTTCTCATAAACTTTATCAAATCTCAACAATCCCCATCCTAAAATGTGTATACACCCTCAAGGCAACTAGTCTCCTCCACCAGTGGTAAAGTCAGCGATGACCGAACATACACTCATGCGATTTACAAGGCAATGAGCATCGGATCAAATTCTGTTGGGTTAACCATCTGTACTTCCACGATGACGAGTCTATATAGCTAGAAGGCTGTGCAGTGATACACATTTTAATGCATATTGATACGCGCCTACGTGCCTGCTCATTCTTGATGGAACTTAGCAACACCAGTCCTCTCTACTAATTCGTACCTTTTAGGATGAGCATCAATTCCTAGTCGACCTTTTTATTCATCGATCTTGTTTTTCGCCGGATACTGTTTCAGAAGTCCTGGAGCCATGGACACCTATACCCCTCCATCACTTGATTTGTTGAGTGCTCCAAAATGCCCAATTTTTCGGGCACTTTTTTTTCTCTTCCAAGGATTCAAGTCCCGTGTACTCTCCACCAGCACGGGCATCGATTACCGTTTGCCCAGGGTTGACAGTGGCGAACTTGATGGAGCAGAACGGCAGAAAATGCTGACGATTATTGGTCTGCCCACCAGCTAACAGACCTCTGTTCAATTTACTCGATTAAATGCATACATTAAGGGTCTACGTGAGCTACATATATTACGAGGTTGGATGATTAATCAATCAACCGATCCCGTTAGCTCGGTGGTCGAGTTGCAAAACATCTGCGCTAGAAAGCAGGAGGTCGTGGGTTCGAGACCCACCCGAGCGATTTTTTTCCAACTTTCACTCGGGAGGTAACACACTGAGTATACAGTGTTTAAACGTCGGCGAAGGGCAAAATCTAATTTGATTTATATCACCCCGACGCAAAAAAATGCCATCTTTTAATCAATCTCCAAAAGAAAAAAGTGTACTGCATAGCACTGTCTGGAATATGTTTAGAGCATATAATATTAATACATGATATTTATTGTAAACCAACTTTCAAGGTTTAAAAAGTTATGTTCTGGAATTTTGTGAATTTATTAAACATCGTTCCTACTCCAGACAGCCTGAAATCACGATTCTGGTTGGTTAAAATTTTTACCGAACCAAAAACAACAAGAAAGCACTCAGAGAGCGCAAACCTGCGCCAAGGCTAAACAGTTCCCAGTACAATTGTCAGTATGCCCAAAAGAAATACTCGCATAAATGGCGAAGAATCCTTTAAAAAAAATACTGGATCCAGACCCAGATCCGGATCAATTCCAAAATCTAATCAATTTGTACTTGTGCCAAGGACCACCCCAACAAAAAATGTTCATGTAAATCCTTCCATAACTGTCTGAGTTATCTTGTAAAACAGACAAACCAACCAAACAACAAACTAACCCAATCCGATGAAAACATAACCTCCTTGGCGGAGGTATAATTAGCAACCAATTTCGTGCGTAAAGCATTGCTGCAGTGGATCCAAATAATGAAACTATACCAGAGCAGTGTTGATTACACAATAGCTATGTCACGTCATATTCCCCATGACGAAAGAGGAAGCACGCTATTTTCAAGTTCATTGTCACTTTGTCAATCAGTGCCTCCGTCACAATAACAATACCCCTTTGTTTACTTGAAACCCTCAAGTTCCGGCACCATGAGGTTCACTGCACTAGTCGGTCATTTGACACCGAAGCCGGCCCAGCTGACCACTCGCCCGCGCTGCACCGCGGGGATCCCGCCCACCGACGCGGCAAGACATCCTGCCAAAAAGAGTGGGCGCGGACTATTATTCTTAGTTTTTGTCTATGATTGAACATTTTGGATTAGGCCTATCTGTTGTTATTTGTCTGATATTCGCACAACATCCGCACGAGAATAACATTAGATGATAGAGGGTGGATGGGACAGGTTTGATATCAGTGGGACTTACATCCGTGTCTTTAATAGGGGAAAAAAGTAGTTGAAACATAAATACCAGGATGTACCAGTGTCACGTTCGACATGACGCAGACTAAAGCGAATGATCGTTTTCCGGCAATACTGCATGCGGTCATGTTTAGGTAGGTTGGGGATGTGTTTGTATTTTTGATTGTTTGTTAGTTTTTGCGTTTTTGACAAACCTTAGTTGCAGTTCGCATTTACATAATGTATGTTATTTGTATACTTTTACATTTTTATCGAGTCGATTTATACACATTTAACATAAGGTTGAAAAATTGTATGAGTTATTGGTGTTTAGGCAGGCAAAATAACAAGGTAACAAGGCACTAGGTACGGACCCCCCTCCGGCTACGTTGAGCCCCACCCTCATATCATTTAGCCACCTCTCTCACAGAAATTGGATTTTGAAATCCTTTAACGATAAATTTAAAGGATGCGAACGATAAGTTCAAAAAGGTATGGAAAATAAACGAGAATTCCGTAGATTAATATAATTTATTTGAACTCGCATAATTTAAGTAGAATGCTCTATAATTGATTTAACTATAGAGTTGTCTTATCTAGAATTAATATAATGGCTAATTTCGAACATTTCAAGAGTGGCTTGAAATATTGGGGTGTTTCTATTCGCTTTAAAAAAAAGAAGAAGGGGGATTTAACTTATGAAACCAAGTCATCGATCGGTAAGTTCAGCAACGTCAAATGTAGGACAGCGTGTCCACGGAATGCTTCTAGAAAGCGATTAATATGCTTCCAGAAAGCGATTAAGTTTTTGGTTTGCCAAGTTGTTGAACCCCTCATGGTGATAACAGCGGAAGTTGGAGAATCAAAGAACGGAAACGCGTCCCAGTCAGTCAGTCCATTTGTTGTCACATCGGGCGGGGAATGAAGAGGAAAGGCATAGAATAATACCTGAAAGCCTCAAAAACACTGACAGATCGATGGGTCTTAATTGTTTGGCGGGGCACCGGAGACGACTTGGATAAAAACCACATTTCAGGAAAGACCGCTGTGATATCATTATTTGGAGCTGAAATACAAACGAAACAAAGGGCGACTTACATAGGATCTGTTTCAAATATAATTGTGCGACTCTTGGGATTGGGATGTTTGCGACAGAGAGTGGTGATGGCACGACGACATGACGATGCAAAATACATCCCGGACGAGCCCAAAACAAAACAAGAGCGAATGCACAATAAGTTCTGGCCCGGTGCTGTCTTGCATGAGATCTTGCATTAAATCGATCAAAATCCTACCAGAGCTTAAAAGTGCGACGCCGAAAAATGCGACGCCGATGGCACATAAATTATGGAATACCATAGTTTTGGTCAATTTTCGGGGACAGACAGACAGACCATCCGACCGACCGACCGACCACCAAGTGACACGTAGAAGCTCCTGCCATGCAGAGCTTAAAAATGGCATAATTAAGGGAGGAAAAAACGAACTGGGCGCGTCAGATGCAAAGAAACAGTTTTTTCAACGTTTTCTCCGAAATCGTGATAAATTGTATGGGTTTTAAAACGACCCACACCTTTGAGTTGTCATAAGTACACAATTTCTCAAAAAGAGTTGGGAAACTGGGTTGTTATTTTGCCCAGTGTTGGTCGACATACCAACTGACCACATTCTCTGGCAAATTTTCCGAACATTTTTGGGAATCTGTACCCGCTTTACCCAATAACTGATTTCATACTAACGATGGCCAAATAACATTGCCCAAAAGTGTTTTACCATTTTTTTTTTACCGTGTAAGGTTACTGCACACTGTATTTTTTAATATGTTACACTCTTACCAGGATGGAAATTAATTGAACACGATAGATGAAAATCAATGTAGTTTGAAGACTTCTGATAAAACCACTTCACTTCATGCCTTTGAACAAACCAGTGAGATTTTCGTCTTCCTCCCGAAATGCCGACTTGAACTTCTGCCAATGTTTTCCTCCGGCGCGTCTTAATGGGAACTTAAATAGTTTTGATCTTCGAGCCAGCCGCGGAACCAACAACATCCTACCATAAACCCGACCGAGGAAAGCTGCAGTCACGCTATTTACCCGAGCCGCTGCGAACCAAGTGAAGTTCAAGGGCCCGTCTCGTCAAAACTTCTCTTCACTAATTGGGGAGAAACACTCGGACCATTTTGCGGTTGTGTTGAGCAGTGAGGTAGAGTGGTTGGGCCAAAATAGTTCTTATAAAGGCTACACGAGTACACGGGAATGGTTTGTCATTCAACAAAGATATTGCTATGTTTTCAAGAAAGTTGTTTATACATATTCTGCACCCGAATCTGAATCAAAGGTTTGTCTTCAGAACGCAGATTCGCCTGAAACAAAGTTGGCAAGCTGAACAAAAACAGAAAATAAGCAATGTCAAAAGAGAGAAAAGGCAATGTCATTCCA